TAACAAAAAAAAAAAATTAACAAACTTTCTTTAGTTCTTAGAGAAAGTAATTAAATTCTGTTTGTGGCAACACAGCTTGCCACCTTTACCTTATTTTCAGAAATATGTTCCTGAGGAGGCAGCACACCTCAGCGTTTTCTCGCGTGAGCCACTGGGAAAGCTCTTACCTACTGTCTTGAGGAACATGACTGGAGTTGTCCTCAATCAGTACTGCTCAGATAAGCTTTGCTCATGTGTGAACAAACTGCAAACCTGTGGCTGTCATCCGTAACCCTATTTCTGTTCCCTTCCTCCTCACTCTAGTGTTTATGGACAACTGTCTATCTTGCAAGAACTTAATTTACTCTAAAGCAGAGTAAATCAACTTCTGGCTGACAGCCTCGAAGCTGGGACTTTTACTCTTGCACAGAAGATGGTGAGGGGCCATTTGTCCCATTTGTCATCATAGATACAAGGATTCTATGAACTGCATGCTGTTTCTGCCCTGGTATTTTTCAGATAGATTCACCTCCTTGCCCTTCACGATGCTTTAGTTTTCGCTTCAGGTATAATCACATTCAGCCATCATCAGGCAGATTGGGCGTCTCTAAGAATCCTGGTACAGAGCCGCAGTGCTGGAGTTCTTCCACAGACTGATGATACTGCTGGTATCGTCTCACACACGGCTACCAAGATAACTCTCTCTTTGAAGACCAGGGTGATAGGAAGAGCAGAGTGAAAACAAAAAATGTCAATACAGGGTCAGGAAACTGGAATGAGCTTGATGGCTCAAAAGAGTGCTTTTCCAAAACATTCAAAGTGGTGGTTTTACAGACATAACATGAAACCAGAGCAGACGACTCTGTGGAAAGAACTGTCAGAAAATTCATTGCTGCACAGTGAAATAACTGTACAGACATTTTGCATGGATTTAACTGAAGTAATATCTGGCCATAAAGACAGCATTATTTCCATGGGATGAAACCTAGCAAAATTTGTACAGATGACAAGGCAGAAAATAAAAGGAGCTTACCTGAGAAAACAAGGTCACTTTCCTCTGAGTTTGAAGAGTGGACTATTTTATTGCAGACATTTAGCCAGAGTCACTCAAAAATGATTTATGCTGATTTATTGAAAGTTACAATTCAGAAATGTGTATTACTATGGCATTACCAAGAAACAGTTATTCATTTCAGATTAAAAAGGGAATGACAGCACATTGAAAAAGGGATGACAGCATGTGTATTTTTATTTACAAATCAAGTATTTCTGCAAATGACTTTGCACAGCAAAACAAGATTACTATGCATCACACTGTTCAGTGTTCCTTCATTCAAAATAACCTCTCTAGTAATTTAGTTCAATTATGAAAACACTTAAATCTACTATAGATATAAAATATACTATACGATGCTCCTCGCAGACTGTGGAATAGACAAGTTGCAGTATTGCTGTTCACGGAAAAAGCATTTACCTTCAGTTTTACAGACCATCTGTTATTGTTGCTGAAGGACAGAAGTCCAAAGGATGAGCAGCAGCAACTACTGCTCGACTCTGTCTTGTAAAGGTGGTCTCAGAAATCACTGGAAGCACTGATACACTGTGGCACTGAGCGTACAATTAGAGGGATCAGAGGTAAGCTGCTTTTTTCTTTTTTTTTAAATCAACATTTAAAAACCAGCGTAATTATCTCCTTACAGATGAACTTCTGATGTTTCAGTAGCTTCAAGAAAAGTTCCCTAGATCTATTCTCTAGACACTACTCATCTCTGATACGGTCTTTCCTGAGTTCAGATGCTAATAGCAATACCGAATGCATATCCATGAAGTTATGTGCAATTTCACGGGAAAAGGAGAGAAAGCAGAAAATACAAACAGGAAAGGAAGACAGAGTACAACTGAACAACAGATTTTCAGCTTATTAGAACCAAAAAGATCACGTTAACTGTCCACACCATCAGCATGGATTTATCCTAGTTTTGTCAGCATTAAAATCATTAAAACAGAAAGAAGTGAAACAAGGAAAATCATGTGAACCTTGTTTTAAAATACTTGCTAAAATACCTGCCAAAATGAAACCAACTGTATGAAGTCTTATTGCCACTGACAAATCATGGAAGAAGAGATAAGTAGTTTCAAGTGTACTTAAAAGCATCTCAATACATAATTAGCTCCTGCGCACTCCTCTGCTTTGCACACGCTTAGGGGCATTTTTAACTACCTGGACACGAGGTATGAATGGGCACTACTACAAAAGGTAGCAGAAACTACCTTTTGTAAGAGGTAGGCCCACAAAGGGCTGGGCGCTGTGTCTGTAAGGCCAGTGCCTATTGACTTTAAATGGGCTCTAAGTGAACCAGGAGCCTTTCTGATTAGTGGGCACCAGTGCGCCACATGGGACAATGTCCACATAGGTCTTCATCTGCCACAGGGGCTACTTCTAAAGCGTGATTGATAACCAGCCTAGTGATGCTCAGTTCCAAGTCTGTGGGATTGGCCCAGGGAATAGCCAGGGGTCCTCAGTCATCTTGGGGTACTTCTCTGAATATATGCTAGTGCTCCACAGAAGACAGTGTCTACACTTCCTGCTGGAAGCTGTAGTTGGATCCCAGACACCAAAGTGAGTCTCCAGACTTTCCAGTCTGAAACTCAGATGGTGTTCCCCCCATCACGTAACATATTTGCAAGCCAAGTTACATAATCCAGATTTGTGACAGCACTCGCTTAGTTTGGCTAGGTCTGCGCTCCTGAAAGAGCATGTAGAGGCATCTGTCATACCTCCAGTAGCATCATACAACTGGTCAGTTTAGCAAGTCTTCAGGAAGGGAGGAATTTGACACAGCATTGTCTGAACCTGAATCAGATCAAGAATCATTCAGGTCTCATGGATCTCTATATAAAGAAATTCCCTTTTCCACAGCTTCCAGACAATGGTCAAGTTTTTCCCAGACAGATACTGCTACATGTGGGACAATGTGTTGCTCTGGTTTCTCCACATTAGCCTGATGGCTTTTAAAACAGGCAGGGGCTAGAGTCTTCTCCTCTGTTGCAGCCCCAGTGTCCTGCTGGGTGTGGGCCAGTTCTTTTCGTAGGTAGTCAACTTGGGCTTGGTCTGCTTTCAAACGCTGCTCAGTATCTCTAAGGCAATGAGCTAAGAGATACAAGCAGGGTAACTCTCCCTTCATGTTTCTGTCTGACTTTCTCTAATCAAAGTAGAATCTGACATCCGCGGGCAGGGCAAGGTCCCAAAATAATCAACTAAAGCACACTCTACAGGGTCAGGGCTGGTCATGATGCAGTGAACCATATCCCACTTCTGACACCAGAGTGTAAAAGGCTTAAGGCAGCCCTACCAAGTTATAGGTTCAGGATATGGCAACAGACATCAGCCCAACAGCTTCAGGGATAAAGTGTTTCTCTCTAAATAACAGTACAGGAAAAAATACAGATCAGTAGTACAATTATCTGAGTCATAATAACAGCAAGTCAAGTAATTCACCAAGATTGGGCTAGACCTAACATCCAGGCATGCAAAGACTTACATGACCATGGCTGTCAGGCAGGCAGCAGGGCATGACGACTTCTCCAGACAAGTGACCCACACTGGCCAACAACCTTGGGGAATGCATATTCCTTGGCTGGACTGTCCTTTTTATCATCGAGACACAGATGCAGTATTTGGCCTTGTTAACCAAACATTACACCCCACCTCTGCTCCCGGTCTGTGCCAGCTCTGTCCTTGGCATGCATGGGGCCCAGGAATGCTGTACAAGGCAATACCGCCCCACATTCCTTTGTGGGCATGGGCCTGGAAGTATCATATAAGGCAATACGAGCCTCACAGCTCCGTTGTATGCACCATCTCCAAAAATACCATATTAGGCAATACTAGCCTTACAATGACTGTTTATGTATGGAAGTCACTACACAGAATGCAAGAATGAAGGCTACTCTGAACTGTGCGAATATTCTTAGCAGACATGAAAAATGTACATACAGGCTCAGAAGCAGAAAAAGCTCTCTGTTTAATCTAAGAATGACCACAAACGTAGTGCTGACAGTGAGCAGACTGAATTTATACCAGCCTTATAGTACAGTATGTTAACGACTACGGAGAAGCCCAATAAAACAAAACCATAGTAGTACAGAAGAAGAAAGAAATTGAAAGAACAGGTGTGACAGAAAGCATGAAGACTACATTGAAAGATGAAGGAAGTTGTACTGGTAATTTTTTTTTTTTTTTGAAAGAAATAAAAATCTAATAATACCCAAGTTAGTGAACTATTAGACTACCATTTGGCAGCAGGCCTCTGAAAGACTGTTTCAGCTTGCCAAAGCGTGAATACCTTTTAAAGCTGAAAAATAATTGAAGCTGGAAACACCGCTGTACTAATCCACTCTTAAAAGTCTCATGCTCCTTTCACTTATGTATTTAAATTAAAATTTTACATTTTCCAGCTGCCCAGTTGTTTGTATGAATATATCCTGCTCCCTCGCACCATGCATACAGAAGTTCAACAAATACTTATGGAATCTTCCAATATATTTGGAGACATCTATTCTCAATTTATTTATTTTACACAAACTGAAAGATTGATTAATTAATATTACACTGGTTTCTCTCATACATTTTACTGTGTTGAGAAAGCTTTAAATGTAAACTGTGTATGTAAACTGTCTGCTGTGCTATTTTAAACCCACGAACAACTTATATGTGGTCCACTGTTTCAAACTTAGTTTTGAACTTAACCATGTTTTTAAAAACCAACTGCACACTACTGTAAAAAAATAATTCAGTCAAAAACAGGCTGGTGAATAATGTTGACATTTGTTAAGGAAATACTGAAACCAACACAATTCCCTCTTATTTTTCCACTCCTAGCTGCATAGCATGACTAGCAACTTCAGGAGCTTGTTGCGCCGCCTTCTTCCTCATCTTTATATTGTAGGCACGCTGCTGGTTCTAGTGGTTATAGCTGATGTTTCAACAACCACAGCTAAAAAAAAAAAAAAAAAAAAAAATCAAAAGGAAGAGAATATTTAGTACTAAGTGTACCTGTTCTTCCACAAACTACAAAGGAAAGACAGTACTGTAATGAATCATTGTATATAGATAGCTTTTCCTCTATCACAAAAACAGCAAGTAATGCATGAAATAACTACCTTTATCACATTACTTGACATACTTAATCAGTTGAGTTTTTTCCTGCCAAAGGAATACGGTCCCAAAGCTGTAGCAACTGCTCTCCAACTTGTGGTTCCAGCTCCTAGGAATGAGCAGGAAATTAGAGAAGTTATTTGCACAGCTACTATTGAACATATAGAAACTATTTATAACAAAATTGTTAGATGAAGTTACTAGTGATTGCTTTCAGTCTTTCTGAAAAAGCTCGTTCCTTTTGCTATTAAGACATACACTAAAACTTCCCACACAGAAAGGTTTTTTTACTAGGGCTCAAGAGGAGATAAAAACTTTCATAAGCAACTGTGGCCTACAGGTTGGTTGGAGTTTTTTTTCATTCACAGTAAGATGTCAGTTCTTAAGAAGAGAATTCTGAACGAACACACCACCACCACCATATACAAGAACATATGCACCATATACTTTGTACCTTCCACAGGCCACTTGCTTATTAACTAAAGATCATTATTCTCCACGTCTTGTAAGTTTAATTCCATCAAATAATACAGTGGCTCTTGGTGGAATCATAGACATTAAAGATCTTAAAAACAACTGCTTTATTTTAAGACTCTTTAGGTCTTAAGAGCCACTTACAACAGAAGCACTGTTAACTCCATCACAAGCTATGTTCCTTTCCTCATTCTTTCAACTGGAGAGGTTTTGGGGAAATGGTGAGAAGATGATACAAAAAAGTTTAGCTCTAGAATCTCATATCAAGGAGATATTTTGGGAGGGGACTGGAGAGAATGCAGAAACTGCCACAGAGAACTCTTGTTCCAATTCTCTTCCAGCTTTTTGTAGATGCATTTAGCTTTAACAGATTGGAGAAGTGTCCTGAGCTTTATTCCACTTCAAATCTCAAGATTCTCTTCAGTCTTTACAGGAAACTCAAAGCTGTAATTATGAAGTTATTTGGGTGTGACAGACTATCTCAGGGAACAAATCTGAACCAAACAGGGAACAAATCTCCAGAATCAGAATTACAAATTCCAAAAAGCTTTTATTTTTGGAAGCATCCAGCTTTAAAACTTTTTTAAAAATGCATATTAAGCAAGAAACTGCTTTGATTTTATCAAAAAGCCTCCATTACTTCAACAGTAATGCATTAGCAGAATGTAAAATGTGCATCAATGAACTGTGATTCAGATTAACAGATATATGAGGACAGTAGAGATAAATGTCAAGGCTAAGCAAGCTAATAAACAATACAGAGTTCTACCAAGTAAGGACAACTTTAGAAGAGGGGAACATTACCTGGCCATCTCTGCTTATTTGTACTTTCTTATTGTCATTCCAAGGATTGAGCAAATGGTGTGCAAACTGAAAAGGAATGCTTTCTTTTCGGATCCACTCCACCTTAAATACACCTCCAAAACCCGTAGATCCCCAGTCTTGACTTTTCTCACATCCTATCTCTGAAGCCATTCTAGCAAAACCCTGGAGCAAAAATTGAAATATGAATGGAAAGACACAATTAGAGCTTATCTGCTTACGTTAGAATTAAATAAATGACTACACTTCACATGAAACAATTAGTTTCAAAAGTGATTCATATATTCTCCCCCATGAAGCTGGATCTTTTAAAATGTTTACATCTAGAAAGTTAAAAGAAATATCATTTGTTTTTCTACTTCAAATATGCCTTCTAGAGTTTGACCACAGAGAATGTCTCTCAATTAATCTCTCACAATTACCATTAGAAGTTTTTTTAAGCTGTGTAACAGAGATTGAAAAGGCATTGTAAAAACATTTGAAGTATAGGGAATCAAGATGCATACTACATAATAGTTCTACTACGTAATAATCCATTAGCTATTCCTAGTTAGTTGCAAATATTTTTTACAGAAATCCATTCCCTCCTTCCCATGTTCCCTCTATGTCAAGCTTTCACATAGAATTAAGAGAGTGTAGCTGTTTTTCAAAGAAAGAAGTCAAAGTTGCTTTTATTTCCTTCTTCAACGAAGTGGGAAGAAATTCCAACAAGACAAGTATTCAGAAAGAAAATGAAAGAAACCCTAAATCCAAGATTATTTAAGGAAACCCCTACTTGCCCACACACCAAATAAAAACAAAACAAAAAAACCCCACCACACACCCAACTTATCAACTATTCAGGCAAATTTATGGCAGTTATGACTTAGGAGTCCAAGAGATGCAGTGCGCTACATAAGTTACCAGCACACACTACTGTTGTACGACATGCAGTACTAGATAGCTAAAGCCAGACTTAAATGGAAATTAATAAAAGGAACACAGAAAAATAAAGGTAGAAAGTAAAGAGACTTGGTACAAGAGAATATTAATAGGAATGTTAATCTCAAATTCCCATGAATGTTCAGTGCATCGTCAAAACTGGAAGGGCAAAGCAGCATCAAGCACCTACACTCCTGACTTCAGCATGTGTTCTCCTCCCAGCTTCCCCGTCTAAGACCACCAATACAACAGCCCATTTTCAGTATCAACTGGCATGCTGAAAATTACTTTCCTGTATTACATCTGCATTTTCCAAATCATCGTATGTATATCTCACCGCAATCCTTGGTATCACCAAGACAGCGGTATTTGGGCTAGTTCATTAGATTTCAAGTTTAACTGACTTTTATGAATAGTTTATATAAAGAGGTAAGTTGAACTTTCTTTACCTGGAACAACTGAGTTTAGCCCTCTCTACAATACAGTTAACCTGCAACTTTGCACCACCAGGTCAAGTCTTTAACTTCAAATTGGTTACAGATTTGTCACCAAATTGTTTACAAATACCTTGCTAAACTTGAACTCAAGACACAGCTCTGGAAGAATCATGGCCATGACTTTCCAGCTTCCTAACTTTTAGAAACTACAGTTCAGGCAAAACAGATTTTATTAAAATTTGTAATAAAGGCATCTACGATGTCTTTAGAAAGCTGTGACTTGATTATAACTGCTTGTTCACTTACAATATTTACTTTGGCATGCAAAGAAAAGAGTAGCAATCCCCTATTTTGTTTGGATTTGTTTGTTCGTTTGTTTTGTTGTTGTTGTTGTTTTGAAGGATTAATGTAGGATATAAATATAATTCTGACTCAAGATGTTTGGAGGCAATTCAGTCTTAGCCTTTAAGTGACAAACTGAGTTAGCTAAAAGGGCATATTAATGAGAAGAATTAAATACTCTTTCCTCAGCAACCAGATATATTTGCTTGCTACTCGACTTACTAGAAGGTCAGAAGTCATAAGCAAAAACCTCCATACTACACAGTCATTTGCTGCACTCTCCTAAACCATCAACCAAAGCTAATGTTTATTATTAACTAAGGACTCACCTGAAAGTGTCCAGATCCTTGAACAGAAAATATTAAGTAAACCATGCTGCTCTCCCAAAAGGCTCTATTTAGTTTTCGTTCATTACTTGGCGTAGTAGACCATATACCCTTCTGTTGAGAAATATCAATGTTTTGCAGGTTGCTACTTTTCATTATAAAGTACCGAACTGGCATATTTGGTCTTGGTGAAGGAGATTTGGAACCCTGGAAAAATTACATGAAATTAAGCTACAATAAAACAAACCAGGCTTTAGTTCTAAAGTTTTACACACATGAAGACAGAAATCCTTTGACTGTGCTCCTACCCTCCTCCTCCAGATTCTACAAGAAACACAGAATCTATCAACTGGTACTGTCTGAATTGGTTTTAAAGGGTATTTGACATCTATCTTAAATTTTTTAAGCACTTTCCAAAATAATAGTTCATTCATGAGGGGCAGCAAACAAGTATAGCAGAACAGGCCTAAATAATCTAGTGATTAATTACAATTCTTTGAAGTCTGACACACCTTCAGATGACACAAAATTAATCATTCTACACTGTAGCCTGAAGCACATTACTCACATGTCCACCTTCAGGAAATATAAGTTTTCTCCCTTTTACACTGTCTGAATTTAAAAACTGAAAGACTTAAGTGGAATTATTAAATGCTCCAATGAGTCCGTGCATAGAGGAACAATGGGTTTTCCTCTCAGTGATCTGTTTAGTATTACTGCAGCTTACTATTCAAGTACATAGGGAGAATTACGCCAATAATCTCATTAAAAATGTGTGCTTTGTTAAAATAACTGCCATAAAAAAAGCAAGCAGTCATAATAAGGCAGATAACACAAAACTTAAAGAGAATCAGTATTGATGTATGCTATTACAGAAACAGAGGAAGGCAGAATCCAAAGAATTCAGAAGTACACGTATAGTACTGTATACTAATTTAGAAAAAAAGATTAAACTTGATACAATAACCAGTGAAAGTGTATTTAAAAAAATCTGACATTTTCTACTTTGGAATAGCTTTGCCTCAGCAGTCTGCAAAGAATAATATTTTTACTTTATTAAACTAGTATAACAAGGATATTTAGCCTGGATTTTAAGTTCCAGAAAGAAGTAAGTATTATGCAGCTGTTAAAAATGAAAATCTAACTTAGGTTCTTAATTTACCAATATAATACCTAATAGTTGCTGAAAGATATCAGCAAATTTATTTCTGAAATTCTATTAATTTTGAAGAGTGGGGTAATTTGTTTACAAGAACTCTACCTTTCCAGATATTGGAGAAGAAGGACTAGCACAGGGGCTCGGATAGCTACTGCTGTCCGTAGACTTCACTGATGATTGATCTGACCTGTCATCTGAAGCTCGTTTGGAGTGCAAAATGTTTTTTTCTTTGTACTTCTTTGGCTGGTGAAGTGCAGGAGGCGTAGATTTCATTAAAACTCTACAAAGTAAAGGCAGATACAGGACACACCATGATATTCATAAGCGGTCACAGAACAATTTATATCTACATAGCAGCCTATTGCATGACGATATATATTACAGTAATTCCAAAACGTATTAAACACTAACACAAAAAAATACTGATCATGCATTGTTTTTGAAAGCTAGGGTTAAACCTCTTCTGCTACTTCTTCCCAGAGATCACAATTCATAGACAATATTCCTGACTGCTCTCTCAAACAGCAGGCACACATATGAAATACTTCTCAATGAAATCACAACTACAACACAGCATAGGACAGTATCAATTCTTTCAACTGTAATTCTATTTTCTTCCTTCTTATTACTAGCAGAAATTCAAGTGATGCTTTTATAGCTAAATAAATTACAACCTAGAGTCTCCAGAAGATCTCAAAAACTTACTTTTCAGCATTAGAGGAGTCATCAGAGAATTCAGTTTCTGCTGAGCTTTTTCTACTGTTGGTTGACCTCCACGTAGATGCTAAAGGAAGTTCCTCAGAAGTCATAGGTCTTGGTCTCTGACCAATTCCTGAAGGCTGCTGCAAACCTGCAGACTGTTCTTCAGTACTTAAAACAGCTATAATTGCTCTTACAGTTGTTTCATCTACTTGAGACCATGGTTTAGAAGGAGCTCGCATACGACGCAGAAATAAGCTATGCCACTTCTGTCTGAGTTGCAACAGCAAACCAGCAGCCTGTAATGAATTTCAATTCTGTTAAAGACTACTAAAAATAAGATCAGACAGGTAAGGGTACCCTACGTCTTTCCTGCCTGGCAGCATCTGGCATTCTAAAATGAACACAGTCCAAATTGAAAGGCAAGACTAAAGTGTCGGGGAGGGGGAGAAAACCCCACATTTAAACCAAGCTGTTAAGTTACCTTTTCTTTCCTCAGGTGCAAGATCATTTTTAAAACATTTTATTTCACTTAGCTCTGCACCAAACTTAAAGTTATATTGTAAATGCACAGGATTTTTTATTTTTCACTTTGAAATTTTATCTTTTAAAAAAAAAAAAAAATCTTTTGCTTTATGCCCTTCCTCTTAATTCAGTCTGTATTCATGCACTCTTCATTCATACCTGAGGGAAAAAAGCTCTAAGTGACAGATTTTTCTTATGCGGACTTCTGTTCAAATTAGATGACTGAATTCAGATGACTATATTCTCATGTTATCAGAAATGCTTCCATTTTTTAAAAAAAAAAAAAAAAAAAAAAAGATCACACTTTTGAACATCTCTAGAAGAGACAGTATTATTATTAGATCTGATAATTCCAAGTGTTTCATAATCCATAAACTACTCTATCTCCTACCACAGCCAGAGCTTCTCAATGACCTGAAGACTTCTGTCTTCAAAAGGCTTTTTTGTTTCCTTTTTCTAAACCTGACAGCAACTTACTTTCAGCAACTCCAACTTCAGGTGCTCCATTTTAATCCAACTTTAGTCATCCTCTCAGAGAAGGAAATACACAATATGCCATTGTGACTGTTCACTCATCTCCTGCTCAGATTTTGGTTAACCCAGCTCACGCTAAGGCTTGATGCTTGCTGGGAGCAATACCACTAGGTCAAAGCAAGAGCACCACGAAGGCAGGACAGGTGGCCAGAAAGAGCTGAAGGGCCATTATACAGCCACTATCACCTGCAGCTTGCTGTCTCCTGCAGCCATTATTCTTTTGTCTGACAGTTTCGTCAGAATAGGCTAACTTATGGAAATGGACCAAACCTCCAAGCGGTAAGGTATAAAACATCAGCTTACCCAAAAAGCTTTTGAAGCGGATCCAACAGCAGCTGGACTGCTGAGGCTTTCCTGCTTCCCGGTGTGATACAGGGGATACCCACACCGTGACGGAGGAGGAAGGATGAGCACTCTCACTGTCAGCTAACGGTGACGTTAGGTAACTAATTTTTTTTTCTTTTTGCTCATAGGTGCACAAATTGAGAGTTTCTAAGATTATAAGTCATGGAACCTTATGACCTGAATGGTGAATAAGTGAATTCATGCGAAAGGGGATTGAGCCCGTTTGTTTCTTGTATTTCTTAATGAGCTCATGAAATAAAGGATAAATCACAGAGTACGTTGTCCTGTAAATTTGAGAGGCCCAAAGGGACGATGACAATTATTCTTACAGAAAATTCTTGGTTACCCAAGTGTTTCAGAAATCTTTTTAGGAAGATATGACATAAATATCCGTCTACAAGAAACAAGCATTGAAGTGATACATTACTTACTTCAGGGTCCAGTTTGAGATGGAGCCATTCATCTAGCTTCAGTAGTGCCAAATTAGCAGTTGTTTTGTCCTCCATCTCACTATCACTGTTATCATTAGATACCCCATCCCCTGAATTAAATATAAAAGATGCATTGACATTTCTGTATTATTGCCACCTACATACAAAAAACTGAACACTACTGTATTACCAGCAATAAACCCATTTTCCTCCTAAATTTTATTTTAAAATGTAAACATTTGCAAAGCCACTTTTTATTTTCTGCAAATACACCTCAGTGAAAAGTCTTTGCTTCAGTTAGCAGAACTCAAGTATCCAGAACTGCTGAGGGTCCTGCTATGTAAGCACCTGTACTGATGTGATCTGACTCACTCATGTATCTTCATCAATATCAACAAGCCATTATCAAACTTTTGCCTGAAGCTGTTTGCAAAACCACATGTTGCTCTATGATTTATTTCCTAGTAAAACAGCAGATTTAAAGACCCATTAAGAAAAAAAAAAATTATATATGCATATGGCTATTAAGTAGGATTCTATTTTTTTTTTTTAAGTGCAATTCAATCAGCATAAACGCTATTTTAAGAGTAACAGTTTAAGATCAAGACAGGAAAGCTTCAAAAATAACTTGGATTCTTACTTTGATTCAAACTAGTATTGTGAACTATTCTAGTTCACAAACAGAGAAGGCCTGGTGGGAGATGTGGTGGTCGGAGGCCGGCTTGGGCTTAGCGACCATGAAATGATAGAATTCTCGATACTTGGTGAAGTAAGGAGGGGGGCCAGCAAAACCGCTACCATGGACTTCCGGAGGGCGGACTTTGGCCTGCTCAGGACACTGGTCGAGAGGGTCCCTTGGGAGGCAGTCCTGAAGGGCAAAGGGGTCCAGGAAGGCTGGACGTTCTTCAAGAAGGAAGTCTTAAAGGCGCAGGAGCGGGCTGTCCCCATGTGCCGTAAGAAGAACCGGGGGGGAAGACGACCGGCCTGGCTGAAGGGGGAGCTCTGGCGTGCACTCAGGAAAAAAGGAGAGTTTATCACTCGTGGAAG